GGAAGGGAAACATGAGGAAATGTTTTCTCTGTGTTGATCCTCCTCTTTGTAGACTTGATGCTGGTTAGAATACAAAGGCTTCCCTGAACAAGAGAACATGTAACTCTACATTTCAAGAGCTGGCTCACAGTCCCCTGAGACCTCAGTGACCTTGGAACGCAAGAAGAAACTATTCTCCTTTTTAGTCCCTCTGACCACATTAGTATAGCCTCCAAGTCTGGTTATTGAACAGCCAGAAGATCAGTTACACCAGTCTGGTACTTTTAACTTGTGGTGATAGATATTGTGTTCCCCAAAATATTGTGCACCCTAATAAACTTATCTAGGATCAGAGAAGCAGAACAAGCCACAGCCACCTCACCTTTCCAATTCCTCAGCTGATCCTGTTTCCTCAGACTGGAAGCCTCTGAGTCCTCATCCAGAATGAATCTCAGCTGAACTGCTGCTAAAAGCCTAAAAGCTTAACAGACTTTAGTTTCTAGTCCTCATACCTTATATACTTTTCTGCTTCCTGCCATCACTTCCTGGGATTAAAGGCGTGTGTCACCATGCCTGGCTATTTCCAATGTGACATTGAACTCACAGAGATCCAGACGGATCTCTGCCTTTGGGATGTTAGGATTAAAGGCATGTGTGCCACCCTTTTCTGGCCTCTATATCTAGTGGCTGTTCTGTTCTCTGACCCCAGATAAGTTTATTAGGGTGCACAATATTTTGGGGAACACTATCACCACATTAACTACTGTTAATATTTCAATAACCAAACATTTCTAAATAAACTTTGATTAGACACACACATTTTAACCAGTCCTTCTAATTGTTGATCTTTGAAATTTTAATAACCATATACATCATCTCTGAGTTTCATCCTTTATGTACCTTAAATAACTTACTCAGACCTTCATAATTTGTGTAAACTTTCTAGTTTTCCATTCTGAAAACATCCAGCCATCTTAATTTTCATTTATTTAAATTCCTCTTTAGTAAAACAATTTATATTATTACATCCTTCTACCATTTTATTTTGTTTACTGTTTATGAATATCACAAGACATAATAGCATTAACAAGTGAATTTACTATTTGTTGTAAGAAATTTCTCCCAGGTGGGGAGGAGGAGCTAAGCAATATGTGTCCCCTCTGATAAGGTCCCAAAGACATCAGAGTTCACCCTAGGAAACTGATGAGTTTATTGGGCTCATTTACCAAGCCTGGGTGAGGGGCTACTGTCAGCAGGGTGGGTACCCAAAAGCACCCCATGTATAATGTCGAGGATACTGACTAGAGTTTCCTGGGTATGCTAAGAGTCAAGGAGAAGTGAATGAGGATGAGTACAATGGTCAGGACAAGAAGTCTGCTGTTGGCACAGACTTGGATAATAAACAGATTCTGGCTGGGCATGGTGGCACACACCCTTAATCCCAATACTGGGGAGACAGAAGCAGGGGGAACTCTAGGAGTTTGGAGCTAGCCTGGTCTACATAGAGAGCTCAAGGCCAGCCAGGGGTGCATAGTGAGATCGTAGCTGAAAACAAAACAAAAATGAAACACAGATTCTGGGACAGAAATACAGATGAGATGCTTGACTGATGGTTTGTCCCAAAGTTGTGGGAGGCTGGAGTCAGGAAGACCTGAGAAAAAGAGGTCTCAGACATTTATGTAAAATAATCTAGGTTCAGACCAAAACACAGGAAAGGAACAACATGGCAACACTTCTAAAGCTGTTGATAGGATTCTCCGACTAGTTGGCTGGCTGCAGAAAGAAAAGAGGAGGGAGATTTTAAGTATGGTTTGAAGGCCCTGAGACAGAATGGAGAGAATACAGAGGTCCAGAAAGCCTTAGAGAAAAGAGCACTGTAGTTTTAACAAAGAAAAGAAAAAGAAAAAACCCAGATGCAACAAATATTTGCATTATATGTTTCACAACATACTGGGTATATTTCATAAATAAACTTTGGTTTGTTGTTAATTTGGAGTGGTTTGTACAAGGCGCAGGTAATAATTATAAGGAGAACAGACCAAACTTTGGCAGCAAAAGGAAGGAAAAGCAACAAATGACTAAAGGTGGAAAGAGAATGGGAGGAAGGAAGAGGAGCCTCACTTATGTGATGTTTGAGGAATGGCAGATACTGTTGTGATAATCCTAGATCTGCAGGTTTGCCTGTTGGATGGACACAGTTGCTATGAAACATTAGTGATCTTCCAGTCTTTAGTGTGGCCCTCTCCAAGATGACCTCATTCTAGAGGATTGGTGTTACAAAAACATTTTATTGCTGAGTGGTTACAATCTTCATTTTATAAGAATAATTAAACCTTTTCTTTATTGAGTAATTTAGTGTGATGTAAGCAAATTAACTGGATGAGTACAAGTTTTAGAAGTCTGTCACAGTACTCAGTGTCTGAAGAGCATAATTTAATTTTTTTAGATTTATTTTATGTTCATGAATGTGCATCACATGAGGGCCTAGTGCCTTGCCTGTAGAAGTTAGAAGAGGCTGTCAGATCCCCTGGAACTGGAGTTACAGATAGTTGTGAGCCACCGTGTGGGTGCTGAGAACTGAACCTGGAACTGAACTTATAATTATTACCTGTGCCTTGTACAAACCACTCCAAATTAACAGCAAACCAAAGTTTATTTATGAAATATACCCAGTATGTTGTGAAACATATAATGCAAATATTTGTCGCATCTGGGTTTTTTCTTTTTCTTTTCTTTGTTAAAACTACAGCGCTCTTTTCTCTAAGGCTTTCTGGACCTCTGCAAGAGCAACAAGTGTTCATCCATCTCTCTGGCACCAACATAATTTAAAAGTTAAAGAACCAGGGTTTCTTCTATATTGTAATGTGGCTGAGCTTCTGCAGGACTTAGCAACTGCTACCCATCATCATTGCTGTGTTTTGATTAGCTGCCTAGGCCAGGATGGACTCTGAGTCTCTTAACACTAGGCTGTGACCAGCCAAGGGTGCATTCTACACCCCCTTCCTAGACTGCAGAGAGGGAAAGATGGGTCGTATCTGGGATCTTTCCTGATTAGAGACCAGGCTATAGCAGTCAGCCCAGACTCCAGAGGTCTTTGCAATTGTTAAGTGAGTTTAAGTCCAGAGTCTTTGTTTCCCTGTGACCCCTGTGTGAACTTTGTTTTTACCCCTAGATATCATTGGCATTCTGTAGAATTTGGAAAAACTCCTTGAACTTAATTTTCTCATAATAATAATCCAAATTCTGTCTCATTTCCCTGTTTTATGAATCTCTTTCAAATTTGTAGCTATTCCACATCCTTATCCCATTTGTTCTTGTTTCTCTGTGAATTTAAATGAGCACACCAATTCTGTTTCCTATATTTTTTTTTTCTTTTTTCTTTTTGATTTTTCAAGACAGGGTTTCTCTGTGTTGCCCTGGCTGTCCTGGAACTTGCTTTGTAGACTAGGCTCGCCTCAAACTCAGAGATCAACCTGCCTCTGCCTCCTGAGTGCCAATTCTGTTTTCTAATTCCTTGTTAGAGTCCTCCCTTCCCCTGCCTTCACTTCCTCATTGAGGATGAAATATAGGACTTTGGTCATGCTAAGCAAGTGTGTTACTACTCAGCTATCTCCAGCCCTTCTTCCTACCTCAAAGTTGCACTCAGTTAAAATATGTCATTGGGAAATGTAAATAGACTTGTGTTTTAATCCCAACAACATTATCTGTGTAGCTATATTAAGCTGCAAGTTATAGAGAGAGGGCCTAATTCAGAGTGACTTACAGAAACATGTAAATCAGCTGCTGTAACTGAAAGATCAGCAATAGGCCAAGCTCCAGGGTTGATATGCCATTAAGAATTTGGTTTCCTTCTTTCTGCACCACAGACAGAGTCCCACCCTCTTCACAGGATGGCAGCGTGGTTGCCAGCCATTCTCACACCATGTACTTTTCTCCTGATGGCTAGTGATATTTACCAGCCTGACCCTGCACCCCTTTAAAAATATCTTTTCTCTAGTATTTATAGATCTTCTGAAAATTTTTATATAAGAATATTTTTCATACAGTGTATTTTGATCATATTCTTTCCCCTTCCCAGCTCCTCCCAGATTCCTCTCCAAAAACAAAACAAAAACCAAAACAAACAAAAAACAACAATGGAAATGGAAATCATAACAGATAAGCAAACAAACAAATCATTAAGACAAAAAAAAAGTGTATGAAAAAAACATGGAGTTCATGGTCATGGAGCCTGTTCTGGAGTGTGATTGATATGCCCAATGATACTGTATTGGAGAAAACGAATTTTCTCTTTCCCAGCAGATATCAATTGCAGATAGTTTCTTAGTTAGGGGTGGGACTTTGTGCCCACTTCTCCTTTTCAGTGCTGGGATTTTGTCTGGTTTGAATTTGTGTGGAACTTATGTATGCTGTCAGTCTGTGTGAGTTCATATGTCTATCAGTCCTGTTAGATCTGGAAACATTTCCTTGGAGTCATCCACCATCTCCGGCTCTTAAAATCTTTCCACCTCCTCTTTCACATAGATCCCTTAGCCTTGAGGGGAGGGGTTTGGTAAAGACATCCTATTTAGGGCTGACTTCCAAAGTTGCACACTCTCTACACATTGTCCAGTTGGGGGTCTCTGTGTTAATTACCATCTACTACTGCAGGAAGAAGCATCTCTGTTGAGGGTTAAGCAGTTCTCTGCTCTGAGTCCCTGCCTAGTGTGGTAGTTTTGGGTTCCTGGTTGTGTCCATAGATCTTAATTGAGCTATATGTCTCTGCCTTGAACCACCAGCTGAAATTGTTCTGGATTGCTCAGCAGATTATGTATCTGCTTTCCTTGATACACAAGCCCATAAGAAACCCTACTCAAGACAGAGTGACTACCTAGAGGAGGAAGAATTGGATGAATGGTGACAGCCATATTTTGAAGACATTTCAGTTGCATTATGAAAATGCTTACTTTTCTTTTTCTTTTTCTTTTTTTTTTTTTTTTTTTTTTTTTTTTTTTTTTTTTTTTTTTGTCTTTTGTCTCTAGGGGCTGTTCCAACAACCAAACGGACAGGCATTCCAGCTCCACGGGAACTCTCAGTAACTATCTCAAGAGAGAGGTCTGTGCCACGTGGTCCCTCCAGCTCAAAGAAGTTGGGCTCTAGTCCAACTTCCTCCTGCACTCCCACTCCTACCAAGCACCTGAGGACCACCTCTGCGAAACCTAAGCAAGAGCACGAGGGCACAGAGAAGTCTGTACTCGAGTCCCAGGTTCGGGAACTTCTGGCAGAAGCCAAAACCAAAGACAGTGAAATCAACAGGCTTCGAAGTGAACTAAAAAAATGTAAAGAAAGGTGGGCCCTAAGCACTGAGGACACCAATGCATCAGACCCAAGTGCAGAGGGAACATCTGCCCCAGTAGGTGAAACAGAACCTTTGATAAGAACCCTGGAGGAGAAGAACAAGACTTTTCAGAAAGAGCTTGCTGACCTAGAGGAAGAAAACAGGGCCTTGAAGGAGAAGCTGACTTACCTTGAACAGTCACCAAATTCAGAAGGGGCAGCAAGTCACACTGGTGACAGCAGCTGCCCAACCTCCATAACCCAAGAGTCCAGCTTCGGAAGCCCAGTTGGAAATGAGTTGTCCAGTGAGACCGATGAGTATAGAAGAAGCGCACATGGAAGCGCATTGCGGACATCGGGGTCTTCAAGCAGTGATGTCACTAAAGCCTCTCTGTCACCAGATGCCTCGGATTTTGAGCACATCACTGCAGACACCCCATCTCGGCCCCTGTCGGCCACCAGCAACTCTTTTAAGGGCTCCAAGTGCTCCCCTACTGCGAGCTCCCCAAACAATGCGAGTGAGCTGTCCTTGGCATCGCTAACTGAGAAGATCCAGAAGATGGAGGAGAATCAGCACAGCACCGCTGAAGAGCTGCAGGCCACTCTGCAGGAATTATCAGACCAGCAGCAGATGGTGCAGGAGCTGACAGCTGAGAACGAGAAGCTGGTGGATGAGAAGACCATTTTAGAGACCTCCTTCCACCAGCACCGAGAAAGGGCAGAGCAGCTGAGTCAGGAAAACGAGAAACTGATCAACCTCTTACAAGAGCGAGTGAAGAACGAGGAGCCTAGCGCCCAAGGAGGGAAAATCCTTGAGCTGGAGCAGAAGTGCACAGATATTCTTGAGAAGAGCCGCTTTGAAAGAGAGAAGCTGCTCAACATTCAGCAGCAGCTGACCTGTAGCCTACGGAAGGTTGAGGAAGAAAACCAAGGAGCTATAGACATGATTAAACACCTGAAGGAAGAAAATGAAAAGCTGAATGGGTTCCTAGAACACGAACGGTGTAATAATAGTGTGATGGCCAAAACTTTGGAGGAGTGTAGAGTTACCTTGGAAGGCTTGAAAATGGAGAATGGGTCCTTGAAGGCTCATCTGGAGGCTGATAAACAAAAGGCCGTAGAGGCCAGCAGTACCGTGGGGCAGACAGCAGAGAACTTCGAGGTTCAGGAAATGCTGAAGGTGGCTCGAGCTGAGAAAGATCAATTGCAACTGTCTTGCACGGAGCTCAGACAAGAATTGCTAAAGGCAAATGGTGAAATTAAACACGTTTCCAGCCTGCTAGCGAAGGTAAGGAGAGGGCTCTCAACTAGTATTTGTTGACATTTCTCTTCAAGACCTTAAAATCATGGAGCAAAGAGAATCAGTTGTCCAACTGTGTTTGTGAATCCAGCATTCTAGTTTGAAGATCTATTAGAATTTAGACAGATTGGCACTGGGGATTCCAAGTAAAAACACTCAGATTTCAGTACAGGTAGTTCAAAGTTTAATGGAAGTATAGTGAATTATATCAGATGGTGTGATGTAGTTATGAAGAATATCAGGGGTGGGATGCGTCTTGGTGGTAGACTCTTTCATAGCATTCTTGAGACTTTAGCTTTGATTCCTATCACCACACAAAAATAGGATAAAATAAAATTTAGAACCATCCTGTGTACATTGATTGACTTTTTGATGCATTTAATGCTTTCTGAGCATATTCTCAGCACTGGCTCTTTTAAATGTTGTTTTAAATGCCAGCTAGTATTTATCATGTAACTGTTTTATATATTCACTAGTCCACTGTTACTGCCATGTGTGTATTGTTGGTTGTTTATGTTCTTTCTGGTCTTGGAATATTAAAAGTAAATTTTTTTTTCTCTGATTATTTCTTCAGGAAAAATTCCTAGACGTTGACTTAGTGAGTCAAAGAGTATAAACATTTTAAAGACTTTCATCACATTTAGCCAGATTGCCCGCCAGAAATAATATGCCAATTTGTTCCCACCAGTTCATGAGAGTACTTGCTTCCTTGAGCCCTTGCCAAAACTTGGTACTAAATTATGTCATTCAAATCTGTTAATCATTTCCTGAAATTATTTTAACGGAGAGCCCAAGATGAAATAAGTGGTCCTGGCTTTCATTTTAAAATAACTCTTTTGATTTGGCTGGAATGTTGTTATGTGATGATACAAGACTTTTGGTGGTGATTGTGTGACAGTCATCTGCCTCACAGTGCTGGCTTCTTGTCCTGTCTTTCCAGCTTTGGGTCCATAACTTGGGGTGCTGCTGAGGAGAGAGGGGGAAAGCATTCCCACCTTATTTCATGGCTGCTGGTGTTCCAAAAAGCAGTTAAAGCTGTGAGCTCCTGGGGAGGTTTCTGCCTGTTGCCTGTCTGTTTTAGGGTCAGTCAGTTGCAACCCAGTTCTGTACTCAGATGTCTTGTGGTCTTGGTGGAGGTTGTGGAGGTTGTGTCCGTGTTGTAAATCCACAGGTATTTTATTGAAGGAGTGGAAGCATTAGTGGTTATGAGCCAGATGCTCGTTTGAATTGTATGTTGACAAATGAAGCTTTGCATTAAGTCACCTTGTAAAATAAGAATGTTCTCTTTTGTTGTTTAAAGATCATTCGTTACCTATTCTATAAAATATTTAATCTCCCAGATGGACCTTCTTTAAAATCTTTTTTTAGACTTATTTTAATTTGTATGAGTGTTTTGCCTGTATGTACGTATGTGCATCACATATGTGCCTAATGCTCATAGATGTCAGAAGAAGGCATCAGATCCCCTGGAACTGGAGTTACAGATGGTTGTAAGTTGCCATGTGGATGCTTGGAATAGTACCTGTGTCCTCTCAGGTGCTCTAAAATGTTGAGCTACCTCCAGTTCCCCATTTATCTTCTTGAAGTCTTTCATCAGCTGCTGCTGAATGTTGAGCAGCTTCTCTCTTTCTGAATTACTGAGTGCCAAGTATCTGTTTAAGCAACAGAAAACAAAGTTTAAGAGGTCTGGGATTTGCTTTTCCAGTGTTGATGTAAAAGACTTATAGATCAGTACTTTGTATACATGGCAGTGCAATATCACAGACCTGGAATCTTAATACCTATAAAAGGAACCCTGTGTAAGTAGCATTACACCTCATGTATTTTTTCCCTTCAACTCTTAACTAAACACTGGCTAGACTCCTACAGTCAGTGCATAATAATTCTAGTTGGCAGAAAATCAGTAAATATATGGGCTATGTGGATAGCAGTTTAATTATTTAAAAACAGCTTTATTTGAAGTGTGCATTTGTGTGTTGTGCTCCACAGAAAACATGCATTTTCTCTGTCCTCCAAATAGATTATATTTATAAAAGAAACTCTAGATTTTGTTGCCTTTACTTTGACTAAGCTATAAGAAAGGCCAAATTTATACATTTAAATCCAAACAGGGTAAAAGAATTTTACTCAAGAAATCAGGAAGGAAAACAAATTATAAAAACTCTTTTACAAAGCTGGGCAATAGTGGCTCAGGCTTTTAATCCCAGCACTCAGGAGGCAGAGGCAGGTAGATCTCTGAGTTTGAAGCCAGCCTACTCTACACAGCGAGTTCCAGGACAGCCAGGGCTACACAGAGAAATTCTGTCTTGGGTGGGGGGTTGGGGTGAGGTAGGTTACAAGTGGAACTTTTACATTAATCTAACTAGTTCGCTGTATTTGTGAACTGTGCCACACGTACTCTGTTCTTTTACACAGAAAGGTGAAATATTATAATTCTGTCCATATAGGTTTGTATACATATCCTGATATATATCAACTGAGAAAAAATGTCTAAAAGATATCCAGCAAAATGTTGTCAGATTTCCCTCCAAGTGGTAGGATTAAAGGCAATGCTTGTTTTCTCTTCTGTACGTTTCTGTAGTTTACTAAATCTTCTATAATGAATATAATCATTTGTTTAGAAAAATAAGCTATTTAAGATGTCAAATTACTTAACATTCATATTTAGTGTAATGCTCTGTAATTCAGAAAAAAAAGGTTATTTGAGCTGCTAGTTCAAGATGCTGGAAGTCTGAAGAGAGGCATCTGTGTCTGGTGAGGGCTCCGTGTGGCTTCTATTTATAGTAGAATGGGAAGAAGAAACTACTTATGTGATGAGAGAGTAAGCAGAGCTGCCCCTTTCCTATAACAGTCCCCTGAGCAAGAGAGACCCCATGAGACTGCACCTGTATACTCACGAGGGCAGTACCCCCTCCTAATCACTCCAAACGGCCTCACCTCCGGTTTCATGACTTTTCTCATGGCTGTATGAAAACACATAATAAACACTTACGAGAGGAAGGATTTATTTTGGTTCACAGTTTGAGGGTACCGTCTATCACAAGAGGGAAAGCATGGCAACAGGAGCCTGCGGTAGCTACTCACCCTGTAGTCCGGAAGCAGAGAAAGATGAATGCTGTTGCTCATCTTACTTTCCCTGTGTTCAGCCCTAGACCCCAGCCCAGGAGATAGTGCCATCTGTAGTTAGGATGGGTCTTCCCTCTTCAATTAAACCTTTCTGGAAACGTCTTTGTAGACACACCAGATGTGTTTCCATGGTGATTCTAAATCTAGTCAAGTTGACAGTTAAGATTATTCATAATTCCTCCTAATACCACCACACTGGAAATACAATTTCAACATGAGTTTGAGTGAAGACAAACCATATTCAGACTGTAGCACAGACTGATGGCTCAGTGTGTCCCCAGGGCAGAATATCAACTAAGCCCTAACAACCATGGATTCCAGTAATGATACTGAAGGAACCCACGCCCAAAGGAAAACAGAACATGAAGATTAAACTGTACAGCCAGCATGTCTATGCATTCCTCATCACATGCCTTTTGACATTTGTGCCTGGTTCCCCCAGCAGGTCTCTGATCTTAAAGCCCCGTGAAAAGTGGTGGATTAGGGAAGGTTGGTTTTTGTCAGTGGGAGCCAGATGCTCTTTGGGGCTCTGCTCCTTTGCTTACATGTCGTTCCACTGGAGAGTGCCACTTCTCCCTGGGGACAGATCTTGGCTACCCCTTACCTCAGTTTCCTTCTCTAACTTCCTCTCCTGGTGATGGGTTTATTTTCTTAGGTGTGCTACGATCTCTAGTGAGGTAAGGACACACACTGCACCATTCTCTTCCTTGAACTTGACCTCAGAACTCATCGGTGAGAGCAGTGATGCCTCCACCTCTTTGTCCTTTGTATGTTTGGGGGCAGCACCTACTCTCCACAGCTTCTCTAGATACAACCCTGCTTTTGCAGCTCACTGTTAGTTCTCAAGGCAAAATTCAAATTTCTAGCTTCATCTCTGGGTTTTCTATAGCCGTTTTTTAAAAAAAAGATTTATTTATTTATTTATTTATTATGTATACAGTGTTCTGTCTGCATACATGTCTGCATGCCAGAAGAGGGCATCAGATCTCATTATAGATGGTTGTGAGCCACCATGTAGTTGCTGGAAATTGAACTCAAGACCTTTGGAAGAACAGACAGTGCTCTTAACTGCTGAGCAATCTCTCCAGCCTGCCATTTTTTTTTTAAATAGCAGAAGTGTAAATATACTAGCGTAACTCATTCCTAAGCAGAATAGCATTTAAAAAAAAAAAAAACCCAAACAACAACAAAATCCCCACCAGATTTAGGTCAATAAGAATGCAATATGATGCAATATGGCTGCCTCTGTTTTCAGTAGAATGAAACAGAAGAGTTTGCAGTAGCCATACTAGCTGTCAAAATAAAAACAGCAAACACAACACATATTCTTCCTCCTGGCAGAACTCTCCGACTGTCGTTCTTGTGCTTTACTGTATGCTTTATACTCTAACAGTATGGTTTCTCCGCATATTAGATATTTAATAAATTCTGTCAAATAGGTGGATGAAAGTTTATAATATTTTAATAACAACTAATATTGCAGTGTTCTTGTGTGTTCCAGATAATCTCGAGACTATCTTTTTTGTTTTCTCCCCATAAGGACAATGGCTATGAGTTAAGTACTAGATAAAGTCTACTGGAGAGGAATGTTAGTTTTGCTGGATATTGGTTGCAAACACTTCTTAAATGATGAAAGCTGCCAGGCGTTGGTAAAAATGAGTAGCTCAGCTGCTTGATTGACAGCTTTCAAGCCCTTCCCTTGTCACCAGTGCAGTGGCAGCTGTCCTGAAGCTCAGCAAAGCCGCAGTTCAAGGTTGGGCAGAGACCCAAACCAGCTGGTGACTACTGTCACCTTGTGGTGAGGTTCAGTGTCTTCCCCTGGCCCCTCTTACCCTCCCCACCCCTTCTGGAAATCACTGCTG